CATTATCATAACTTAGTATAATTTTGTGTAGTTCAGAAACTCAAGGGTGAAAATATTTGAAACACCTAATGGAAACCATTTGTTTTCTTTACTACAATCTGGCTTTTTTTAGATGTCTATGGATCTGAAGAAAAGACCTAGAATAGTTCTTGTTCGTTTTGGAGGACTCAATGAAGATGTGTTCATAGATTTGACATTTCATCTAAATTTAGTGTTTTTGTTAATTTTTTAATACCTTGTGATTTCTTGCTTTCCAGTGGGTTAACTAAGCAAAAATATTCATTCACCTTTCTGAAGAAAAAATATTTTTTGCATTAGAAAATCCTAGGATTTGATGTTGAGAATGTACTGTAGCAGAGAAAAAATATAAGATACAAATTAATAACTACATTTTTAATACTAACAGTACTTAGTACTTACTACTTACTAACAGTACTTACAGTACTTACTAACAGTACTTAGTACTCTTTCTAAACAAAATCTTTGTTACATTGCTGTAGCAAGTCTTTTCAGTGCTCTGACTTTTCTATAAAGGATAATTCATGAGAGAATGTGTAAGTGTATATTCTTGGCATTATCAGGGTAGGGGGCACCTTTCCTTCCTTTCTGAAGAGTGACCAGTACAAACTGGTAAAGAATGTACTCTGTTCTGCAGTTTCTTTGTAAAAAAACAACCTTTTACTTTAAAACACAAGAATGTCTGTGGAATGCATAACACAGGGAAATATTACCGGATGTTTCCATTGTTGCACCAGAAGCTACAACAGCCTTTTTTTTCTTTGTGGAAGCCTGTAATTAGCCGTTTCCTGCAAAATATCCTCTCTCTTGGAAAATTTATTGTTTCTGTAATACCAGAAGCACATTCCTTACCTAATAGTGCAGATATTGCAGATCATGTTTGTCCAAAAGCTGTGTAAGTCCATGTGCGTGATGGCCTTTAGATAAACTTTGCAGCTTAAAAGCTTAAACCAACAAATTCACAACATTTTTCTCGTAGGTAAATGGTGTATTCATGTACATGAGTGCAAGGAGCACACCCGAAACTGTCAGATGTGGAACGAAGGTGGATAGATCTTTTGATATGTTAACATAACCTCAGTGCTACTAGAGAAAATCTAAACCCCTGACAAAACAGCAATTGTGTAGTAACAGCAGTGTAGCTGGAGACCCATGACCAAATATCCATCCATTCGGTCCTGTTATATCCTCGAGACAGCTCATTCACAACCATTGTCTTTGTTCATCCAACTGTATACATGGGTATCATCAGTATATCCGTGTACAGATCAATTCAGTACATCCAGAATGTCTTGGATTCTTATTTCTCTTAATGCCACAGAAGCCAGGATTAACAGAGTGGCCACAGAGGGCAGGATTAAGCACTGCCTCTATGGGTCTTTGTTAGGCTCATGAAGGACTCCATGATTTCACAGACAGAATGCATTTTGTCCTAACTGCTCAATGTTCTGGATTGCTTTCAAGGAGGTTTCTGGTTTATAGGAAAATAATATTATTTTCAATCACAGAAAGTGTCTGACACTCTTTTGACAAATTGATAGATTATAAAATCTAGTGCATTTGCACTGTAGCTGTAGATACAGCAATACTTCATTGTGTGCTATGAACATCTGCCCCAGAGCTCTGTAATTCTATCCCCAAGGATATCAGAGAGTCACCTACCCTGCCTGTATTTAAATCTAGACTCAAACCTTCCTGTCAAAAATGCTTTTATTTTATTAGTGTCTGCACTCCATTTTCTGGTGATTTTTAAAAAAAGTTTCTTCTGCTGCTCCTCTGACTGCTTTTGTTCTTTATATACCTGTTCTGTACTTTGCTGTTCTTATAACAGGTTTTTTACACAGGTTGAGATTCCACCTTTAAAGGTGAAAATAAAATGTGGTATTATTACTTGTTCAATGATTCATACACACAATGGGCACACTGATTATTCTTTGACTACGTTTAACTAATGATATATACTGTAGATCATTAGTTGTATCTGCACGTATAGATCATAGTATGCTTCATTTAATACCACGTAAACTTTTTTACAAATTTGTTTTAGCTACTGTATATCATTAAATTGTCAGATTGTTGTAAAGGAGGAAGGATGGATGTGAATGTCCAATTCTGCTTGTATGTTTGTAGGGACTTTTTGATTAAAAGTTGTCAACAATACAATTCCATCTCTACGTTTTTGTTTCTTTTCTAAACCAGGAAAGAAATCAATAACCAGAATCTACACATCTTAATTCTTACATTTATTTTATTCTTGTTTTACTAGATAAAGATTTCAACTAGTAATTTGCCAGGGTATTTCCTGAGACCCTTCAAGAGACTCTTGTCGTCTTGAGATGTCTGGGCCATTTTGTGTGAGTAAGTATGTAATAATCTGATAAAGGTATGTTACTGTAGATTGGTTGACCTCTGGTCATTCTTCCTTCAGCTATCCTTACCGATAGTGCATTGATAGTGGCATTACCTTGTTGTCTGATCTTGTCAGATCTCAGCAGCTATAAAATATTGGGACTGGGTCAGTACTAGGATAGGAGACTTCTAAGGAAAACCGGCTTGCCACTGCTGTCTGTGGTGTTGATGGGCCAGAAGGTGATAAACGCTCCCTTCTCTGCCAGAATTTCCAAACCAGTACCCCAGTATGGTAACTGGGGAAACTGTGGAGGAGGAGATGCTGCCCTCAGGATGAGACAGTCAGCTGGGGTCCCGAATTCTTGGTCATTACAAATCCCATGGCACTGCTCATTAGAATAGGGGTTTGTCATCCTGGGTGTCTTCACTAAATTCTGCTTTAGGTTTGCCTCCCTGAAGGTCCCCATTAACGACATTTGTGAAATAAATTTTCACTTCTTCGCCTGAAGTGCAGTTGAATTTGTGAAACACCTCCTCACTTGACACCTTCTCCTGATCTGCTGTGTAGTGAGGCTGCTGGTGCTTCGTGTCTTCGGTATGTCACCCAGGAGAGGGTGCACTTTAGTGCTGGATGACGTGGTTCCAGTCCTGTACTGTATGTGATGTGCTTCGGGATTCGTCGGGATGAAACGCGCTATAGAATTGCACGATTTATGTTACGAGTAGCTGTGTTAAGCAAATGTGATTGTATTATGAATTCTTTGTTTACGTGGCGTGTTTGAAATTGCAAAAAAAAAACAGCTTGTGCGCCGCTTAATGACGATTTTTCAGGCAGGGGATTGGAAACTGTTATACTAAAATTGACAGCCTCTTATACTTTGTTTTTCCCGAACACATGATAGCCTCTGCTTCGTAACAGTTGTCTCGATTAGTGCAATGTAATTCCAGTACGCACCGCTTTTATTAGAAAAATGTAGGACACTGCGACTTTGTTTCTAGTCAGATCGACATAATGTTCGTGTACATAATGCAACATTTCACTGTACTGAAACAATACGTCTTTTGCCACCTTTGCAGCGCGAGTTGTCAGTTTACAGACATACTGACAATAAAGTGCTTTTGAAAATAGAAGAAGATAATGATATAGATCAAACGCATTTCTCTGTTGCTCAGGAAAGTTTTAAACGAACGTTGCATACAATTGTATTCAGTAGAAAGTTCATATAACGAAGATGGACCTTATAAAAATAACCTAAAGGTTGCTAACGGAATGGCCCAATTCTCTGACTTTGAGTATTAGGACAAACTGTATCTATAAATCTTTCGTCATTTTCGTGGGGGTTTCCAAAATACAAATGGAATACAAATGGAAATTCAATAAATGGAAATGTATTCACAAGCGTAATAAAATCATTTGATGATTGTCCAAATAGTTATTATAGCAGCACTACGTTCTAACTCTGTTCTTTTCCGGACAAGATTACAGTATAACACGTAACAGTTTGACACAGAGTAGAACACACTTTCTAAACACGACCATTTTCTCTTAAGGGGAGAAAAAAAGCAACTGCTTCTATCAGAGTCAACACAACTTCCCCGGGGCCCTACCTCTATCAGAAAGTTTTTAAAGAAAAAGGCGAGTTCCCTTTGTAGCGATCAGTCAATAAACACGCATGCGTTGATCACATGTTGCTACTTCTAGTAGAGTTGTGGAGTATAGGAATGATTGGTCTTAAAAATGAGCGACAAAGAAGCTTCCACGATGGCATCGAAGTGTGGACAGGATGAGTCAAACCTTGTTTAAAAAGGACTGTAACACAATAGACGTTGATTAAACGCCTGAACAGTGTAATGTTTACGTTGTGAACAGCTGACATCCGCTTTAATCGGGGTCAGCAAAAATCCCTTATACTAGGGGATAGGATCGCACTGAAGAGTTCACAGCGAGGAAGAGATTACTATGAGCAACGTTAAATTTTGGAACCAGCTGCAGGCTGGCAGCTCTGAGGTAGACTGGTGTGAGGGTAATTACCTCATTTACCCTGGCATAGCGGAGTTTTACAACACGGTCTGTATGCATCTCGATTTTTTAAATATCCTTTGTCCTTTCTGTTGTTGCTCTTTGTCAGTTTGCATTGCGTAGCAAGTTATGTTTTTCAACAGTTAACGTTTTGTTACAGCTGGCTTTGCACAGTAAGATACAAAAGAAAAATACAGAAATGCGGCACTGTAACAGGAAAGCAGCTGTTGCATTTACAAGATTGTTTAGCGAAGCTGAGATGTGGAGAGGTCAGTCTCGTTTTACTCTAAAGAGTTTTAAGATGATGAAGTGTCTTGGTAATGGGATCACTCTATGAAGATCGAAAGTGTCTTATTTTATGTTTTCCTAATGTCCTACCGTCACTTTCATCTTGTGCAAATCTATCGTGGAAACTGAATATTTAGTTTTCCGACAAGAAAATTGTACCGGATGTGTTTACTATTTATAATTACTGCGTGGAATGCTTTGTGGTTGATTAAAAAACAGGCTTTTCAGTTACTATTCTTGGTGAATTTTATTAGTCATTATTTGAGCTTCATGTTTCAAGGCAGATAGTCTGATACGGATAAAAAGCAACAAGTAATGCCAAACAGGACGAGTACTGATAGAGGGAAAAAAATATTTTTACTCGAACTTTGGAAATTAGTTTTGGAAACATTCTTTATTTTACCTTGTCAAATAGTATCCTAATGACTGTTGGTCAGCGATTATATAACAGTAACACGTATAATGTCTTTGATAAGGAAGTGGTCTAAATGTTAACGCTCGCAATGGCAGTAAAATTAAAATGATACTGATACGAACAACCGCTGCAAGTTCATCGTTTTCTTTCAAGTAACAACAGTCATTGTTATTTGCAGGATGATAGACACATTACAAGTAAATTGAAAGTGTAAGAATTCCTTCAGGAATTCAGTGATCTTTAGGGGACAGGCCAAAGAATGACAAAATGCAATGCCCATAAGCTACAACAGAGGAAGGAATGGCCATAGACTGTAATGGGACAGAAAGAAAAAAAAATCAACTCATAGCCTATAATCTCTCAATTAAATCATGAAACCGTAACTAAATTTCCTTGTAAATATTCCGATATTTAAAATGAGAGGCAAACAAGATTACTGATCATGAGAAAAAATAAAATTAAGTGTACAGTATCTAACAACAGCATCTTAAAAGTTAATATTCCTAACTGAATTTTTCTATCCATTAATACATTGGGATATAAATATACTAATGTACAAAATAAAAGTGTAGGACAGTTATTTACTAAGATAACCAAAAGATTTGAGAAGATAAGCATTAATTCTTCAGTAAACTATTCCAAAAGTTTTTCTGGCTTGTCATTCCATAAATTGATTGTCATTGTAAATGAACCCGTATGTTCTTGTTTCTTTTTTATTATGCTTTTTTGTTGTTTTGTTTTTTCTTTATCCCTGTGTACAGCACCCTTAGGTTTTGGAAGGGTGCTTTATAAGTAAAAGTAAAAAAAAAAACTCTTGTCATTTGACATCTGTTTTGTGCTTTAGGAAATGTAAAAGCAGTGGTATTAATCGGTTTTAGATTTCAGCTGGGGATATTAAGATATAAGCATTATTCTTCAATTCTCTCTTTTTTTCCATACTTTTTTCTGGCCTGTCATTTCTTAAGAAAGAATGATCATTTCACTTTTATGTTGCGTGTTAGGTTATCTACTAGCACAGGTATTTATGGTTTTAAGGTTTCAGTTGGAATTATAGTGTATGATCTGTTTTTATGTTCCTGTGAGCCTGTGGGCAATACTTCCCTATTGTAATCTATGGACATTTCAGTTTCTCATTCATTTTAGCCAGATCCAATACTTAACAATACATTTGTTATCTAAAGTCCTGCTGTACACTATTTGTTTTCCCAGTACTTGCAGAGAGATTGAGACTTTTCTCTGATGGTATACAGAATGTATTCATATAAGATATGAATACATTCAAATATACATATATACATTCAATATAAAACTGCTTACAATTTCCTTGCATAAAGTTTTCAGGCTCTGCTCATGAGATTTTTCTCATTTTGTTTATCATTCCAGATCAGCAACGTGCTGTTTTTTATTTTGCCACCTATTTTGATGTGCTTGTTCCGTCAGTATGCAACACATTTCAACAGTGGGATATATTTAATATGGGCTCTGCTGGTTGTTGTTGGTAAGTTGGCTGCCTGGACTGCCATGGCCTTATGTAACCCAAAGTCTAAGTTGCTCCCTGTACAAGTGACCTTTTGCTTACTGTTCCAAAACAGTGTGTCTCAAAAACAACCATGTGATGGATCACAAGGCCAGGACCTTTTAAGAAACTTTAGTTTTCCATTTCTAACGTAGTACTTATTAACATTATGCTGTTTTTCTTTGAAAAACAAGTTGATTTTCATGGAAAAAGTCAAGAGGTTTCAAAATTAGATTTATTTGTCCTGTGCCCCAGTAAAGAAGGACCATTACTTTAGTGGAACTGCAGCTGCTCAAACCTGAATTAGTGATGTCACCTTTAGATCCTTACAATTAACCTGGTTATACAGTAGCTCTTATTACTAGAAGGTAAAGTTTCCAGATTGTTTTCTGATATTTTTTGTCCGGACCTTTCTAGAAGCAAAAATGTATAAATTGCTGTAGTTGACTTAGTAAAATGCTGCATAATACTGTATATTTATGTTAGCCACAATAAGTATTTATTAGAGCAAGTTTTAAAACAAGTCTTTTTTTTAAGTGAGTCCAGAAATGCTTGTTAATTTTGTGTTCAAGAATGCTTACCTATTGGAGCCGCTTAGTTGTGTATTGTTTCAAGCTTTTTCAAAAAGCTTTGATCCCACAATGACAGATTCCAGTACTTTTTCATGTTATCGTAAACAATTCTTAAATCGAATTAAGAGGTGTGTGAGTTTAATGACCAGAAATATAGTAGTCTTGAAATAGTGCTGTATTCATAGTATATGTGCAGTTTACTGTAATGTGTCTTTTGGAGCATCATCATTTAAGTACATAAGCTTAATTACTTCAGGATGTTTGTAAGTTTAAGATATATAGTGGAACTTAGTTTGGAATATATAGACTCTGTTATACAAAACATTCTTCATTACATCTCTTTGACTTGATGTTGGCTGGCTTGTTAATTCAGTCCATTTGACAATGGAACAAAGCAATTTAAAAATGTAATTCCTCTAAAAATAGTCTGTATTTGTTGGTTAACATGTTTGTTCCTTAATAAAGAATCAGGACTCCACTTTGTCACATTTACATTCTAACTGAAGTAGAGAAATGATGCAAGATGGATCTAAAAGTTGTAAATGTTAGAGTGAAATATGAGTCATCTTAACAAAGCTGTTGTTTGAAATTTGTCTGCAATGTGGCATAAAATGAACTATTCATCATTCATGCCAGAATATAAAAGATGTGGTATCATTTTAGCTGTCTGGCTAACTGTACATTTGTATTTATGTATCCACCTGTGAGCACCCACATCCATCTCAAAAAGTTCAGTATAAACCCACAAAACCTTAATACATTTTCTTCTCTTCTGACAAAGACCATCTGGTAAAGAAATCCATCTAGACAGTCCGGATTAGCCTGCCATACCATGTGTGACCAGATAATCCCTCAGCCATTTCAACTGGCATAACAAGTCCTGATTAGAATTAAATTTTGACTATGTCTTAACCATAGGCAAAATTCAGTAACCTAAATACTGAACTATTTCTAGTGGCAAACTCTGGCCTAGTAACTAGGCCGACTGTTGATGCCATCAGAGTGCTAAAATAAATATTGTTGATATTGTTAGAATTCAAACCAGGAATCAAAAACCTTGAGAGGGGCAGTTCAATTGAGCAAGCTTTATTCGATTTGCAGATTGGGAGATTGTACAGTGTACAATAGTACACTGTACAATGTACTATGTGACACACATAGTACATTGTGTACATAGTCAAAAAACTATGTGACAAATAGTTTGAGAACTATTTGTCGCACGAATAGTTCTCAAACGTTAGAAGCAGACGCAGGAGCTTAAGTCGACCTTATTTGCGTCACGAAAGCTTGTTAATTTGACAAAAGGCTATTCATTCTAACGGATGTTTTGATTATGCGTTGTCATATCTCAGAAACCCTGTGAAGCACATTCTGTCTTCCACCCCCTAGTTACGCTCCCCTTTGTTTTTCCTTTCCTGCGTACCTTCTAGCGAGTCTGTCTTTCCCATTCTTGTTAGTGTGCTGAGCTTCCGTGAGGTCAAGGTTAGGTGTCTGGCCTGCACAGGCCCAGCCTTGCAGTGTTTTCGCAAGCACTTGCAGCATATGGTAAAGTGTTATCAAATAAAGACTTTTATAAAGGTTACAGTGAGAGGATGCCAATCTGCTTCATAGTTAGTAGTTGATTGATCCAAGGATCTTGGCGATCTGATTCTTGAAAGGTGTTAGTGCGTTGCCTCATGTTTTATCATTATCATTTAGGTACTTAGATTATCTATACTTATTAGAAGAGTAATGTGTTATAGCTTTGAAATGTGTGCTGCTGATGAGTTTACTGTCTGTGTCTGTGTTGATTTTTGTCTGTGGGGCATCCAGGGATGTATCTGCAGGTCTTCATTCCCATTGAGTTTCTGCCAGTGGAAATCATCGTGTCATTGGCTTAATTTTGCCACTTTAAGAGCGTCTCGCAGCTTTCAGGTGTTGCTGCTTTAAAGAGACTTAGACAACCTGTAAACACCCCAGCCCTTCAGCACCAGAACTGAACACCCTTGTTGATGTCCAGTCTGATGATGCATGACAGATAATTCTGTGACATGTTCTTTTTTGTTATGCCTTAATCCCTTCATGCCATATTTGTTTTGTTACAGTAACCTTACATCACATCAGTATTTGAATGACATTTGTTCTAATACCTCTTCGAAAGGTGGCTACAAATGTTTGTTAAAATAGCTAATTGCCTGCAATCCTTTATAGGTGCTGTCCTGTACATGGTGGAGCTTTGCAGTTTTACTTTTGTGGGGCACTTCTGTGTGAAGTGTGAAACCGGCATTTTTTCTTAACAAAGAATAAGTGTTCACATACGAATATTTGCCAGTTCACTGGGGGCAGTAATTCCCCAGCTTTTTGTTCCAGAGGAGCTCTAAATCTTCAGTGGTAATTGATTACTTTAATTGATCCGCTTGCTTGTTTAACTCTTGATTAACTTGTTTCTGCACTCAGGCCTGAATTTAGAAAATTCCCAAATTCAAGGGTGTTTTTTCCAATACCTTCAGCGTATAGAACTCTTAGCTGCTTCTTAACTCTTGCATTACATCTGACTAAAATGCATAACAGAATGACTCTATGCGTAATGGAGATCCTTCTTCACTCTATCAGTCTTAAAAGACTCAAGACCTTTGAGATTTTGCCAGACTGCCTTGGAAGGCATGATTCTGTGTGCTTGAGGAGACAGTCAGTCGTGTCAGAATGTCAGAGCCACACGATATTAGCCTTTTCTTTAAAAAGGGACTATAGTCACAAAACCTCAGTTCTCTTTGTTTTTCTGTGGTAAAACTATAGTGTAGGTGTATAACCGATGTGATGCATTTCTCTAATATTGGCTGATCTACAGCAGTGGCACCATTTTAAGAGAGCGTCTTCTCTCAAGAGGTCTGAGATGATCTGGCAGCTCATTGAGTGGGAATGAAAAAGCCCTGATTAAATGTAGCTGTTCAATCATGAAGGTGTGACCACATGACAAGACATGTTTCAGATGAAGATGCTGAAAAAACAGTTTTGTTTATCAGCCTCTGCTTTCTTAAAATATAGCAAAACATTTTCTCAGTCTTCTATTAAATTATTTTTATAACCAGTTCTTTATAGTGATTGGTGTCTTTCATAAATCTTAGAGATTTCTTTTTATTAATTTTGTTTTGGGAAATTAGCGGCACATTTTAGAGGACACTAAGAAGCAATGGGCATTTTGCTCGGTTGTACTTGTGTTTTGATTAGCGAAATACAATCACGAAAAACAATTTTACAAATACTGAAAATGAATTCTGTTTCAAAAAAGCAAAAAAGTCAGTGAGCTGTATTAAAATGGAAATGAACAAAAAGTGTTCTATTCTAATGTTCCATTATTCTATACTGGAACAAGTAATAGGTTTATTCCATGCTGAAAAAAAGAAGAAAGAAAACACAACATTTCGGCCGTGGAGCCTTCTTCAGGTGTGAGCATTATTTTATACTTTTGGGGAGTGTTGTTATGTTCTACAAGCTTGTATCCATGACTGTTTGACATACCAATAAACAGCATTTCATTCTGTAAATTGCTAAAAGAATTAATTTTTTCAGAAACTACTAGTAAGTGAGATCTGTGTATATCAGTGCCTTATTCCAGTAGTCACACCATGTGTTTCTTTACTAATTAGGTATTGGGTCTGTATACTTTCATGCGACCCTGAGCTTTCTGGGCCAGATGCTGGATGAGTTGGCTATCCTGTGGGTTCTGATGTGTGCTATCGGCATGTGGTTCCCCAGAAGATATTTGCCAAAGGTTTTCCGAAAAGACAGGTAAGGAAAAAAACTCAATTAAAAGGAAACAATTTGTGGGTGTATATGAGGATAAAAAATAGAAATGTATTCACATTTCTCCAAATTTAGGTTTAAATAGCTGTTGATTATATGGATTCATGAAGAGATGAATTGAAGTCAGGTACTTTAAAATGGTGTTTTTGTGGGTTTCATGGACTTATAAGCTGTTGACAAACAGATGAATTACATACAGTAGTTACATTATGATCTCATGGTTTTGTCTCTGATGATCCACAGCAAAGTAATGAATATATAGTAAAAATATGTTGTACCATATATTATCCTACGTGTCATATTTTATCAATTATAAAATAGGTCCTACTAGTATTTGAAGTGGTATAATGAGCTACAATTGAATCCAAAAGTAATACTAATACCAGCTTTCCACATTCCAATTGGGTGTAATATACATACTGGGATGCCTAATCTTATTCACTTTGAGACTTTGTGATGCTGTTGATATATTATTTCTCATGGACTTACACATTTTTGAATTTCCCAGGCATGTTCAAACCAGAATAAGCTTACTAAGCACTTAAAATGGAATGCACTTTAATTTAAGATTTTTGTTTTGATTAACCATTGAACCTGTGTATGGAGAAAATACTTTGATTTAACAATTCAAACAGCAGAAGACTTCAACTAATCCCTCTAGATGTGGAGTTGAATGACAAAATCTATAGTGATACCGATACCGATGCACTCGATTTTCGTATGTTCATTATGTTTTTCTGAGAGGCTTTGTATCATTTAAGTAACATCTGTGCCTTTTTTTGTAATTATTTTCAAGCAGCTGTTTAGGTTGGGTATTACTTTGAATTTATATTTGAATTACATTCTTACTTTCCTTTCCTGACTGATGTGGACCAGCAGAGTGGGAGGTTTAATTGAAGAATTTGTGTGGACTGTTTTGGAAAGGTATATTGGCTTTTGGGAAAACATTGTGTCCGCTGCTTATGATTATCTTAGTCTAATGGTAAACCTGTAGTTTTGACTGTTGTTTTGATCTTAAAAAGATCCTTATTGTGAATTGATGAAAACTGCAGTGTTTGAAATGTTGTGTGCATTTCAGCACCATCAGTCTCTGGTATTGGAAGTGCTCATTTTATACGTGCTCAATGCCCCTTTTCAGTCTTGTTTTTCCTTAGACATACCTCAGCACACAAATGGTCACTGATGGAGTGTTGTTTTCTCCACAGGGGGAGGTTTAAAATCGTCATCGCTGTTCTCTCGGGAATCACTACTTGCCTCGCGTTTGTCAAGCCAGCGATCAACTCCATCTCCCTGATGTCCCTGGGTATCCCCTGCACTGTCCTGCTCATCACGGAACTGAAGAGGTGAGGGCCGTCTCTGGAAACTGTCCCCTACAATCCCTGGGGTATTGCCCTCAGATATTCGGGCACCACAGCCCCGTGGGATGGAAGTCCTGAGCACGGACATATATACTGTATATATTCCTTGAACTGTGTAAAGCCCACAGTTTGATGGAAGTAAAAGCAACGAGTATGAAATGTTTTCAAGATGAAGTCTGTAAAGTTAGTGTCAGATCTAAATTGTTGTGTTTATATAGCATATGAAATGCTGTAGTCTATGTAGAGGGGGGTTTGTGATTTGGAGGGTTTGAGTTATGATCCCACAGATGGGAGCTTCACACCACTGGCTCCTCAGCCAAGCAAAGATAAATGTCTGAATTTGCAGGTCTTCTCAAAATGCTAATGTTATTACTGCAACAACCCATCATTGGTAGAATAAAATTAACCTCACAGCAGTCTAAACCCAGTCTCTTAGGCTTACATATTATTACTTATGAGGGTTTATTCTTAATTACTAGTTCCTATTTTTACATCAAAACATGGTAATATTGTGTTTTGGTTAACAAATTATTGAACAACAACCATTGTTTTTTGAGGGTTATTAACAGTGGCTACAAATCCTAATCCTGGAGGATCCAGGGTACTGCTGGTATCTAGTCCAACCAATAATTCAGTGTTTTAAGAGCTGAGAACAAATTTAAAATGGTGCCTGAAAAGGAAAACTTAAGGAGGCAGAAACTAAATCCAGAAGAAGCCACAATCTCCAAGATCAGTGTACTCATTTATAACATAATTTACCGCCTTAAGCCTTTCATATATTTACTGTGAATAATAGCTACTATTAATAATAATTAATTGCATTTTATTTAGCACTTTTCATCCCAAGAATACCATAGTGCTCTATTAATTTATAGCGAGCTGTAAATCTATTAGTTAAGTAATATTATACATTATACAATGTTATACACCTGAAATCAGTGAAAATATATCCTGCTTCTTTATATCTTCTGGTAAAAAGGAAGGATTAAATTTAGATTTGTATGTTTGGAATGATTACTTTTTCAGCACCCATTAACTTTCTCACATATAAAAGAGCTGTACAGTAATTTCCATATGGTTTTGGATGATGAGGGTTATTCTTCTGCAAGTGTGCAGCAAGTTTTATATGAGTTATTATAGAAACAAAGTTTCTAACAATTATGCCAATAGTTTCTTCCATTGTTTTTCTTATTGGCAGTTCTGTCAATTTGAAATGATTCTTCATCCCGGAACAACTCGTACGTCACCCACTTTCATCTAAGAGGTCAAAAAGTGATTCCTCAGCACTGATATTTCCAGCATACAGTATATAAATTTCAAACCACATCGTAGTACAGCTTTTTGGACTTGCTTTCTGGAAGCTAGTTTCAATTTACTGCTTTCTTCAAGGTCATACTGGGTAGTGTTGAAATCTCTCAAGTTCGCCAGATAAACAATTCTAATGGAACTGAAACAGCCAATAGTTAGAAAAAAAGAAGACTTTGTTCTTTTAAATTTTGTGCTGTGAACTTAAAGTATAGATTGGAATTTCATTTCATTGCATCGTGGGATGCAACATCTGTGAATCGATGTAATGTCGCTTCCTTCTGCGCTCAGCTGCACAGTCTTCTCAGTCTGTACGAGTCTTGATTGTTCTGCTGCACATTCCTGGCCGTATTTGTAATGCAAATTTACAATTTTTGCTGATATGCTTACATTTCTTCACCAGTTCATTTGGCCCTCCCTGATAAAATGACTGTCGAATGGATCAGCTCATTTGCAGAGTGAAAATATCTTAGCTAAAACCGTTTTCAGTTAAGTAAAAAAAAGCATCCTTTTGCCAAAACGTACCTTAAAAATGGTACCAGTCCCCTCGGATTATTTATCATGCCATGTGTCATGTCGGGATTATAGGATTTCAAAACTGGTGCCCCATATTTTTTCATAGATTAAAACAGAATTAATTTCAGATGAAGTGTGCGATAGTCGTGTTACACACCATTCAGTATAGAAGTTGTTAATTTTCTCAGGGTGTGTGGACCATGTGTTCTTCCCTACATCTTGGTAATCTTTACGTCTTTAAATGTAACTTTAATATAAATAGAAACATTATTTGTATAGCAGGGATTTGGCTCCATTCATTAGTATTTACGGAAAAGCTGCCCCGAGTGAGCCTGTTTTTTCCTTTCCTACCAGCTGTTATGCAGTTTTTACACATGATTACATTCATTCATTCATGAGCTATTGTTCTACCTGTTTAGGAAATTTGATGGTTTTTCTCTGATGTCAGCATCCTTAATGGCTTCTGAGAAGACTGGAGTCATTGTGGGGTTATCATGCTCTCCCTGTGTTGGTGTGGGTTTTTTCTTGGGTGCCCTTGTCTCTTCTTAAAGACATGGAGACAGATGAACTACTCTGGAGAAGCTGGGTAGCCCACATTATATGTACCCTTACTGGAGTGTCCCCCATACCCCTGTGCTTCATGATTGAGATATGAACACAAGCTTTCATAATGATCATGACTTGGGGAGTTCATTCTTATAGTAGCGTGTGGCATTCCAGTTTAAGAAGTGACTATAATAATGACCATTCAGCCACTAGAGGTCACCACAGTGGCCTTTAATTCCTGTAAACAGACTCGCAGGGTGTCTTATTTAATTGTTAGATGATTGGTGATCAGAAGAAAAATATTCATGCTCAGAGTGTGCAGTAAGGTTGAAGAATTTACCTTCTCGTTTGTGAGACACTCATTTTCAAAGTCATTATACTCTTTTTTTAAAGAAACAAAATCAATGCAAGTGCACTACAGACTAAAAGAAAGTAGAATTATAAAATATTGATGAAATTGTAAATGATGTCATACACAGTGTGAGGTGCAGTAGTTAGTTTTCTGAGCTTGTAACTGGAAGGTTGTGGGTTCAGATCCCAAGTGCACGTCCCTTGAGCAAAGGACTTCCCTGAATTGTTCCAGTACAGCTCTCAGCTGTATAAAGGGTTCAAGTAAATCACTGTGGGTAAAAGCATTAGACGTCGAGATAAGTAGTAAATCTCATGATATTAATAAGTGTTATCGTTTCTCTACATATATGGTTGTTTTAATCTAAAACTCTTTGTCATGACCTTCCCCACCCGAAGAAGGCTCCACAGCCAAAACGTGTTTCTTTCTTGGAATAAACTTTTACTTGTTCCTTTGCAGCCTGTGCATGCTGACGCAGCTACCTACTTGAACTATGTAGTATAAAAGTACAGTAGTCATTTTTTAGTGATTGGTGGTCTCACTCTTGGAGTTGCTGTCCCACCAGGATAACACAGCACAGTGATTTTGTAATCTGTAGCTAAACATATACAATATTGCTCTCCCTGGACTGTGTTAATTAGCAACTGAATTTTGTGGTATGGCATGCACCATGCTGAAAAAATATAATTGCAGACATGACTTATTGCCAGCTATTCTTGTTTTGTTCTGCATATTTCAGGGTCCATTCGGATTTCCTGAGAGGAAACTCTAAACTAACCAGACATTTCCTGAACTGAAGATCTTTGCATCTTCCCTCACAGATGTGCACGTGCCTGCACACATGTGAAGTTGCGTGTGTGCACAGCTTCTGGTTTCTGTTCACGATTCCTCTAAACCGATTAGCTTACCTTGCACTTTGGTCACGCTCGTGAGTGAGCTTACAGCTTCCCTTTCCAGACATTTTTGAATTGTTTTCCATAGCTGTAGGCGCCATAAAAGCTGGGAGCTCTTTCAGTGATGATTTATACAAACCAGAGGCACAGAAAGTCTCAGTAATTGAAGGACATGCCCTCTACAGCTGTTGTGCTGTTTTTGTGTTGCCACAGAATAGCTGCTATGGTTTACAAGTTTGCCCTAAATTGACTTAATTTCATGCCTTTTAGCGCATTTGTGAGATGAGAAGCCATTCTTTTTGTGAAACAGTATGTGTGAAGCTCTAGTGTACTGTTATGAATGAATTTACAAAGAGCAGCTTTAGAGTTTTCCAATAACCCACAATAGGGCATAGAGTCTTTACTATATAATAATAACAATAATAATAATGATAATTGCTTACACTTATATAGCGCTTTTCTGTACACTCTACTCAAAGTGCTTTACAGGTAATGGGGACTCCCCTCCACCACCACCAATGTGCAGCATCCACCTGGATGATGCTACGGCAGCCATAGTGCGCCAGAACGCTGGCCACACATCAGCTATCAGTGGGATGGAGAGCAGAGTAACGAAGCCAATTTAAAAGGTTCATAATATGTCAGAAAGTAACTTGAGTCTCTTCTGAAAAAAATACATGTAAAGGCAAGGAAAGTTTCTTGCTGTTCTGTGATCTACAAATGCCAGGTGTAGAAATCTTTTATAGCAGGTCTTAAAGGATGTTGTGTCCATCTGTTTTGGTAAAAAACGTTTTCAGTAGCCTGGAATAATGTTTCTGATTACCTATTGACCAGAGTCCTGGAATTGCCTGGCACCTCATATATATTTTTAATTTTGAATACTGCAGTGTTGAATTTCTCATTTTTCTTCCACGACAAATGATTTTGCTTGGCTCACGCATTTAAAGGTATTCAGGAATGACTTGTGACACCACATCTGATCAGCCTGCTTTGCACACAAGTTCCGAGAGATGCCAAAGTCAGTATGTTTGATGGCCTGTGGATTGCTCCCCACTGTGTAAGTGCTCTGGCTGTCCAGAGCAGCTGAGACCCTCTTGCTTGTGGTAATGACCTTGTCGACAGTACATGCTGGAACAGGCCTGAATAAGGAGATCCTATCAGTGATAAGCTCAGAGGAGAGCAGCCGTGTGCTAAGAATAGAAGGTTATCAGCCTCTGATAATTCCAACTCATTACAGCACCACTGGCATTGAGTGCTTAAAGCCATGACAGCATCAGTCTCTTTATCAAACCAGATGTTATCATGTTCTTAACTACCAGAATCTTCCTTTAGAAGTCCCTGATTGTTGATTGTTAAGCTCCTGACATTTGGTGTTTAATTTACTCTTACATACCTCCCTTCACCAGTAATTAATGCTTTTAAAGTTGAAGAAATTTAGAGAAATGTATTCAACGCCACCTGGGTTTTGGATGTTTGCTACAAATCTTTCAAATTCGAAACACAAATTTTTTTAGACAGTGTACATCCAATTATGCCCAAATAGTCTGTGCCATCAGATCTCGTGTTCAGCAGGTGGTGAAAGTGCAAATATAAGACAACAATTATACTAACGGCAAAATGTCAAAATTTGGATGTTACAGGAATTAACTGCGAGTCTGGGGAGAGAGATCAATGTCATCTTTCAGCTGTGCTGTAGTTTCTAAGGTGAAGCAATGAGCTAAAGAATTAATATCTTCATCTTTTGTGTTTAGATAAAATACTACATACCGTCTCTATCCTGAGCTCTGAGGCTATTTGTTCTTTATTTAGCTCTGAACAACAGAATTTGGAATGCGTCTGCATTACCCACTCTTGTGAGTTCCTCTTGTGTAGCTCAATGTTTCTTTATTTCTCTTCATCTGGTACCTTATTGGCTCACATTATCATGTTGTATAGAATAGACAGGATTGCTTCTGGTACCTGTGCCTGTCTTGGAGGTTCAATGGACTAGTAATTACTGAAGGCATGGATTAGTGTGTGTGAGAGAATCATTGTGTCTGTGCCTTGTGTATGTGTGAGTGAAGCTTTTTTTCCTCATTTGTGTTCCCTGTGAAATGCATTGGAAAGTAGAGACTGATTATGAGTGTAAAGCTGGGTTTAATATTTGGTTAAAGCAAATTGATAGATTTCAATTTACCATACGGTCTCTCTTTGAACTATGTTCTTATTTTTAATATTGACTTAAAAGATGCCCTAGTCAGGAGCGATGTGCAAAACATAGATTAAAACATTAAATAAAAACAAATCATTAAAATACAGAAGAGAAAGTAAAAAGCAGTGAGGTGGGTACTCACTGCTCATGTTAGAAGTACAAACTGTGGTGTAGAGCAAAGTGAATTTTGTGCCCCGTGGACTAAAGAATAGGTAATGTACAGTGGTGACTGTCTACAAGAAGGGTGACAAAACTAACCCAAATGATCAAAAACCACGTCTGACGTCGATTACTTGTCAGCTTATAGAAACAATTCTTCAACCTAAACTAGAGGATCACCCCTATGGAAATAACTTTATGGTCAATAGTCGACATAAATTGAGAAAAGGCAGCTCTTACCTGACTAACCTGTTAGAGTTATTTGAACAAGCAACAACAGTATTGGATACACTGAAAGCACATGATATAGTGTATTTAAGAGAAATCATCAGTTTCCATTGACAAAACATGGTTATCAACCATGGAAAACCCCGAAGAGCATAAAAAGTGTTAGAATAACTATTGCCCTTTCTCCCAAACCCATTTCATACCAGTTGCTTTATTTTATGTTTTTTTTAGCCCACAGCTTTTTCACTCTGAGTAGCTGCTAGACTGTAAAGAAAAGGTTTCAATGGTGATGAACAGATTGTAAAAGCTGTGTGTTCTGCTGGTAAACCCTGAAGCCGCAAAAAGGCTGTTCCTTCTCAACTGTGCTCCGCTCGCTGCCCTGACAGGTGTGAGAATCCGCGCGTGTTCAAGCTGGGACTCTTCTCGGGGCTGTGGTGGACGCTAGCCCTGGTCTGCTGGATCAGTGACAGGATCTTCTGTGAGATGTGGTCTTCGGTAAACTTCCCATACCTGCATTGTGCATGGTGAGCGTACTGTTCATGTTCCTGTTCATTCTGCGTTGTCCAGTGGTTATTAATGTTAATGAACAATGAGGAAACTTTGCTAAAGAATGACAAGACAGGCCAAAGCTTTTCCATACCCATTCACATTGTTACCAGCGCCCCTGTTTTGTCATTTCCATTCACATGCATGGTAAAAGCTGTGAGTACTGCTTGTAAAGCCTGATGCCAGAGTAGTTATATACAAAGATATAAATTGGAGGTGCTGGCTGCTCTGTAGTGCTACAATGAAAGAGTGGGTGGAAGGGAAGTTTGAGAAGCCAAGAGGACAGTGGTAATCTGTACAGGTATTACACACACATCTCAAATTAAGTTTCCTAACATCAAAACATTAAAACATTGCTCGTGTGGCACCGTGAGACTGGGAGACTTCAGAACTGGGTTCTCATCAGTCTGGTGCCCCACCAGATGGTTTTTGCGAGGGTGGGGGTACAGATATTTTCTGACCGCACTGCCTTCCTTCTGCAGGCATGTCCTGATCTGCTTGGCCTCTTATCTGGGCTGTGTCTGCTTTGCGTACTTTGATGCGGCCACGGAGGCTCCTGAACAAGGACCGGTCATCAGATTCTGGCCCAGCGAGAAATGGGCCTTCATTGGTGTGCCCTACGTCTCCCTGCTGTGTGTGCAGAAGAAGTTATCGGTGAAGGTGACGTAGGACTGGAGGCGGTCATTGCCCTGGAGCAGATGGAGAGAGTGCCAGAAATGTCTATTTTTCTGTTCACTGAACTACTACAAAGGAGGGATATGAAAAACTAGACAGTCGTGTAACAGCTTTTTAAACAAACTATTACTTTATAAGGACTGTTTCACAAACATTTCTGTTTGTTTTTTACTGAGAAAAAATCTTTGAACAAGAAAGAATATGATATGTACTTGCTCCCATTCTGAATTTATGGGAGTGTGGTCTGATTAATACAATTTAGGGATTAACTAGTTCTATAGAACAGTAGGTTATAGGCCACCCTGATGCATAAACTGTAGAGCAGTGTCTCTATCTGGGGATAGTTCCTGTTGCTGTTTTTTTTTTAAGACACTTGCGCTTTTTATGCAAAGCTGTTGCATAATTCAAAAGAAACATGGTGATTTCACACCATCTTGATTGTTGGTCACTGTTGATACACTTTTTACCCATACGGGTTTTAGTCAGCTTTTAAAAAATTCAGGAGTGCCTGCAGTAATGTCATTCAGACAATAACCTGCAAGTTACAGTTCTTTTACCCCTAAATGTATGTTTTTATCCCTAAATGTATTTTCCGTTTCAGTGTGCTCAGTGTTTACTTTGGATCTTCCTTATAGCAGTTCAGTGAGAGTTTGAAGTCACTGACTTTTCTGTGATCCTCAAGAGAGATATTTGAGTAAAACATTTCTCAATCTGTTTATATTTTTCAAGGTCATGTGACCGGCTGTGTATGGTCGAGTCCTTAATTCGAGATTATCAATTGGAAACTTGTAGCTGTTGATGTTTTCAGTGATTTGGCTGCAATGATCAATGTATCTTGTATTGAGCCTAAGGGTTCCATATATGTCATGGCAATGGCAGTCATGTGACATGAAACAAGTATGGAGCAATCAGTATTGATTTTGCCCACAAAGCAACAAAGGAAAGCTGTGTTCAACATCCACTATGCTACCAGAATCGAAAAAAAAAAACAGATTGCACTAGATGTATTTATTTTTGTATTTTCATAATATTTAGTATTTTTAGCAGACTTTTAGAGAGAATATTGTTTATGAGAAATGTATTTCGTGTATGTGTTTTTTTAAATGCAATTATTTAATGAAACAGAAAAAACAATATTTAACATATTATATTTTTGGGTGTTTTTTAATTAAAATACTGTTTCTCAAGGGACAAGTGAGTTTTTTTTAAACACACACATATCCTTTTATTAACCTGTTTTTGCTTTGTGATTGACAATATTTTGTTTACTGGTGATGGCATGCCGATCAGTCTATCAATGCTGCAACTAACCTGGAAATTATGGTTATGCAAGCCTTAAGAGACAATGATCAATAAAATATTTATAGTAAAAAGAAATTTAGGAGCTATTTTTTCCCCCACAATTCTTTGTCTTTTAAACAATACCTACCTACATGTATGTGACAAAAATGGTATTTAGGGATAGCTTGGATGCACATATTTAGATGTTCTGTAATTTTTCAGGATTAGGAGAAGGTTCGTAGGAACCTTCTTAGGTTCACAATGAAAATTATTATTCACTCTGCTACCGACCATTTCTGTGCTGCATATGCAGTCTACCATATTATCATAAAATGCGTAGCTTCTCCTCAGGAATTCTTCAAGGTAATGTTACATTATTAATAGCTTTATTGTGAGCCGCCAATATTTTAAATGAGGCAATGTTATTTTTACCAGTATCCATATACAAATCCTTGTGTTATTGCTCCAAACTGACAAGAATGTAGGGTGTTCTCTGGTACGGTGGAGGAATTAGGTGTAACGTCAAGAACGCATTGTTAAAGGAAACATATGCAATTTAACTCTGTTGCTTTTCTGAGAAATATCTCTGGAACAGCTCGAGTCACTGACCTGTCTAACCATCTCCGTAGCTCGTGGGATTACTCCAGGAACATGACCTTTCCTCTGTTTTCACAGCAGCATATTTTTTGTATATTTTTGAGAAGTCATTAGAATCCCCACTGAAACAACATTCTGAGCAGCCTTCACATTCAAGAACATCTTTGCAGCTTCCTCTTGCAAAACAGTTGGCTCCTCTTTATAGATGTCGCAAGCCCAGTACTTCATTTGAAGGATTTTCTCTGATAACAGTCATATACAGTACTGTATTAATATATGTATCCTTGATGACATGATCACTGGAAGTAATGAGTTTTATAAACAGCGCCCTTCACATTTATTTTTACCTGTGATAACATAGCAACAAAACGTATAATAGAACAAGCTCGAGTTTGCTTAAAAATCTAAAAATGTTACACTCTGATTGTAATAGCATAACACGGCGCAAAGCCACATTTGCCATACACAATTGAATCACAATTCAAGGCCCTTAACCCTAACTGCTCCAGGGGCGCCGTACAATGGCTGACCCTGGGCTCTGACCCCAAGCCTCTCTCCCTGTCTGTGTCTTCATGGAGAAAAGCTGGGGTATGCGAAAAGATGAATTCCTAATGCAATAAATTGTATAGGGCTAATAAAGAAACATTATTACATTATTATTATTATTATTATTATTATTATTAACTAAGGTTGCTGCTGGAAGAGGTGCTAGTGCGGCCAGCAGGGGGCGCTCACCCTATGGTCTGTGTGGGTCCTAACGCTCCAGTATAGTGACAGGGACACTATACTGTTAACAGGTGCTGTCCTTAGGATGAGACGTAAAACCGAGGTCCAGACTCTCTGTTGTCATTAAAAATCCCAGGGTGTTTCTTGAAAAGAGTATGGGTGTAACCCCAGTGTCCTGGCCAAATTTCCCATTGGCCCTTACCAATCATGGCCTTCTAATAATCCCCATCTATGAATTGGCTTCATTACTCTGCTCTCCTCCCCACGGATAGCTGGTGTGTGGTTAGCGTTCTGGTGCACTATGGCTGCCGTCACATCATCCAGGTGGATCCTGCACATTGGTGGTGGTGGTGGAGGGGAGTTCTCATTACCTGTAAAGCGCTTTAAATGGAGTGTCCAGAAAAGCACTATAAAAGTGTAAGCAATTATTTTTCTTATAAACCAGAACTAAGTCTTATAGTCAGCTTTTCAGACATCCTCATCACTGATGTATTTGGAGTGAAAAAGGCAAAGCTCATGCTATGAAAACACTCACGAACTAAAAGATGTGCCAGGAGAGTCTGACCAAACAGCTGCTTCACTCTGAGAAGATGCTCATGTTTGAGTTTGACAGGAATGTCTTGCCAGGGTATAAATACCTACAGTAGCTGTGACCATCCCAGACAGGAACACGGTACATTTAGTCCAGCTTCTGACAAATCAAGACATGAATATGTTCCCTAGGGTAATGTTTTTCCTTTTTATGTTTGTCTTTTTCCACTAGGCTTGACAAATCAAATTGTCTCTTTACCTGTGTGAAACCAACATTCTATTTAGTGCTTATGCAACAGTCTAAAGCACTCAAATCACCTTTTCCATGAATGATAAATCAAAAAGAATCAATCTGATCACTAATCTTCTAAAATCATAGGGATATGTTTCCTGGTGCTCTATACATTATACACAATGTATGTTTGGGAACAGCAAGTAGGAAGGCTGCTTCTTTCTTCAGCCACAAGGTGGAACTAAAGATATTTTTTCAGTAGGTCTAATGTATTGGAGGATGAATATTAAAATCCTTACGGACTTCTATGATATTTAAAATGAATTACCTATGTAGTTTTATTTTTATTCTAAGAAATGTCTAATTCTTAAACCCAAACCACTTTCTTTGCAGAGGGCAATTCTCACACCTCACTTCTAAAAGGTGAATGGCCATACTGCAGCACTCTATGGGATACAGAGCCTAGTGATTTGTGCAAGTTCATCGGTGACCTTACGTCCCATTGCCCTCTCTCTGCACTCTCTCCTGTTTTGCGTCTTGTAAACACCCGTTTCTCAAGTGAACACTGCATCCCAACTGAAATGCAATGTTTTTTTTTTTTTACCACAGTCCTGGCTATTTGAAAAGTCACAGTCATACTTTTAGATACAGTAGGTAGTAACTGTACATCATGGCACCTTTAACACCTACCTGTATTAACGTCTTAAACTAACAAGTCTCAACAGTAGATAACAGACCACAAAATGTACTAATAAAAAAGTGTTTTTACACACGAGAACACTCATAATAGAAACTATACTCGCCTGAACAATTAAGAGTAAAGTGAAAGAAGATTCATAGAAACAATATTTTACCATTTACTTTTATATTCAGTGCTTATTCACAAACAGCGAGGTAATAAAAAAAATAGAATAAAAATACATTTACAGCAAAAGAAACACTACCAATAAATAACACTCCATTACAAAAAACAGAAAACAATTTCAATAAATAACACTTTACTTACAATAACTGAAAGGGAATATGCACAAGTATACATATACACAGTGTAGGTATGAACAGCAAATTGTTTCACAGATGGGCACTACATCATCCTGGTCAATCGCACACTGTATTACTATAGGCAAATTTCTTCTACATATACACCCAAGATTTTAAATTCACACTTTTTTAAACAGAAGACAGATTGTACAGTGATCTGCTCTTCCAATATAACTTTTAAATAGATCTTCAGAGTGCTTTTGTAGTTTAAGGCTCTGCCTTTACAGCCCAGAAGACATTGCGTGCAGCCTCTCCCACACTCGGGCTCTGTGCTCTGGCTGGAGGCAGGGCTCAATGGCCACGCTGGTCTGCTGGACCCGCCTCTGGAATCTGTCCCGGTCTCTGGCCATTTCCTGCCAGCATGCTCCACTGCGTGCGGCACGGCTGGCAAAGGCCCACACCACCAGGGGGCGCACCACCACAGTATCGCTGAACCGCACCTGAAAGATGAGAGCAAGCTTACTTCTGCTGCTGTGCACCAGTCTAGCCTAAACTACAGTTTTCAGCAAACAGCTTGAGCAAGGCAGAGACACTGGGCTCATAAACTTCAGCAAGAGGTTCTGTCCACCATTTTCTAAAAAAACAAAAAGCTCATGTACGAAACTCCTGATTTACATTTGCCTTTCGGTTTCTAAACCAACATGTTTTGTTTTGGCAGAAGCTGTAAGTTTCCAGCTGAACTCCTATTATTTTTTACTTTGAGCTTTAATATTAGTCACTTTTCAGAACTAGGCTAAACCAAAAATTCTCTGCTAGATTTTTGGGGCAGATATGCATCTTGAGCAGCAGCTGCATTAAAGAAAGGATTGAATTTAAAGCCAGACCTCAGTGAAAGGAGCTTTGTTACACCATCAGAAACACTTTTGAAATGGTACACACAGAGGTCTCCTACTGAATTCTTGATTTAAAAGGCTGGAGGATTCAGGCATCTCCAGATGGAGAGCAAATAATTAATGATCATCATAAATGATTAACTGGATGTATTCCTATATCTTTTACTCTGTGAGGGAAAACCAGTATTGCCAATATATACTGGGTCTGGTCACATGGTTTGTGACTAACCCGTGACACTCCCAATACTTCCAGTCAGCAGACTGATAACAACAAGCTACAAAACCAGCCCTCTCAGCATGCCCCTAACCTGATGATTAAAAGCTGCCACCTTAATTCTTCCCAACCTTTCCATTAAAAAAAAAACCTACTGCTCTCTTCGCAGAATTACCAACTATCAGAACTGACTTTTCTCCTTATCGAAAAGGTGTTCACTAAGGTTGGGGAAAAAAAAACCCAAAACATTTCTTGTGTGACTACGTAGAATTCAACATTTAAACAAGATGTCTAATGATTTGCTTTCCAAAGCTGAACTACCCACGGCGACAACTTCTTTCAGCGAGGTTAATGAATTTGGCAGGACAGCAACAGCCGTGCCTGTTTACACCATTTCAGCAATAACCGTCCCCCAAAGCCTTAGACCACTTATGTTGGGGTTTCCTGCTCAGAGCAAATTCGTTTTCCTAACGTTACACCTTCCCCTTCTCTTCTCCATACGTACACAGTTGGCTTCTTTCTCTCACTTACATCAGTGTTGCAGCAGAGCTCCTCCCTTACCATATCAAACAGCATCATCTGTCTGTCTGGTTCACAACACCCTTGGTGACTAAACACTCTTTCAGCTCTGCGCATCACCATGTCCTTCCACGCATGAGGAATAACATTCCATGACAGCATCTGGTCTCAAGCATCTGTTTAGGCAGCCTGCTGACCCTGGCACTTCTCAATAATTAACCACGCTGGTAAAGGCTCAGCCCTGATGTTATACTCATTAGCTCCTCTTTACCTTCTTGCCTTCAATCTTTCCTTCCTGTAGACGGCAGCAATCCTTCCCCTTCTGTACATTTTTCAGGCCGCTGTCCTCTCCTTTCCAGCTCCCAGGAGGCTCTGCTTCGCCAGTCTCCTCGCCTTCCTCACTTTTCCTTTTCTTCTCCTTTCCACAGGGACCCAGGAATGCAAAGGGATTGTAAGGGTCATCACTCCGGAGGAACGACTCCCATAGCTCAGCTGTGGCCTCAGGCATCTCGTCGCTCATCCCAGACTCATCTTCATCTTCCTCCTCCTCCTCTTCTTCATCTGACCACTCTGCATCGTCTTCGTCCTCCACACCCTCCGATGGGCTCAAACTGGATACACGGCTCAGAATCCTGTGGGAAACCCAGCACTCACCAGGGGAGGAGAAGCTGCTCTTGGGAACAGTGTCCAGGATTCCTTGGGAGCAGCTACCAGTCATACTGCCCGGATCCTCGCCCTTCAGATCACGTTCCGCTTCCAGTTCCTCTTCTGAATCCCATTCTAGCCAGTCAGAAATGTCCCTCTCCCGTAGGCCATCCTCATGCCCGGCCTGCCAGTCCTGGGTCGGCCTCTTGCCCAGGACTGTGGGCACTGCCTCACTCTCT